TCTTTCTTTAATTAAATTAATGTAATTTTTAAAGTACCAGTATTTTATATTCTGATTTTATAATTGCTTATAAAACTTCTAGAGGGGTTGTAACATTTAGGAAATTTATATGTAGGCTCTTATTGATCAGTAACTGTTGTGTACTCAATGTGGATTTTTATATGGTCCAAATTAACTAGCCACTTAAATTTAACCAATTATGCTAAAATGTAATATGAATCAATTAGATTTTTTGTACTTTGATTTAATCTGGGAACTGTACATTACCTGGCAGTGATTAATACTGGAACAGTTTGATTGGATTTAAAAAAAACACATAGCATTTTAGTATTTTTGTTATTCATTTGTGGCTTCTTTCTTTAATTGTGAATGTTTCACTAATGCGGCTCATTGAAAGTAATTTTAGTTGTATCACCTTAATGATTTAACTTGTTGTTGCTACTCCTGTTCTATGTTTGTTTTTGGTGATGACTTTAATGTCTTTATATTTTCTGCATACATGCAAATAAACATGTCATTGCACTTATGCATATGACAAAGTGAACTGAACTAATGAGTTAATAAGCTAATAGCAATAAGTTAACCACACAGGCAAGGATAAGAAAGTGGTGTCCACTGAGGGAACAAAACAAGTTGTTAAGGAGGGATATCCAAGCACTGTTTTACTTGAAACAGTTTTATTATTGTTTTTAGGTGCTACTGTATTTTTTGAATGAGTAGCAGGATAATCCCTGCCTATCAGTAGGTCATGCTTGTATGCTGTGGTGTGGTTGCTTCGGAGATGAACTCTGGAGTGATGTAGCAGTTTCCCAGTCCTGACAGTGCAGAGTGAGCGCTCTGCTTGGTGCGATGGGAGTGTTACAGACGGGGGGGAGGGGGCGAGGGCTGTGCTTGGCACCACTTTTATGACGCTCAGGAGCTGAGTCACATGCAGGTCTAAACAGCTGGGGGTCCACATATAACAGCTCTGCTTTTTTCAACTTACAAAACCATTTTTAAACGCCACCTTTTAGTTTATTTTTAAGCGCTCAGATATTTTAAAGCCTTTCATTTCCTTCATCTTTTTTGAGCGTATGTTTTATATTTTTCAGTATGTTCAGCGTATGCAGAAACAGAACTAAAAGAATAGGAGTAGTTCTGCAGTATACAATGCCGGAAGAAATCTGCAGGAGCTGTTTAATTCTAATACAGTAGACGTTGCTCTCATGTTATGTTATCTCAGAGCACACAGTAGAAAATGAATTTTTTTAGTAATTTAGCCCACACAGTTTGTAAGAAATCCAGTTTCTGTGGTGATCTCCCAAAACCACAAAGATTCCTTGTTATGTGTGTGAATGTGCTATGTATAAAGCTCTTTCCCCTCATCAGGTGGTTATTCATCTGGTTGAAATCTGACCTTCAGGTCTCTAGATGGACTCCAGTGACTTGTGCATTTAGGCACATGTGATCAGTGACATCGTAAACGGTAGCTATTTGTGATCTCTGATGTCACCCTTTTTGACTTTACTGCCAAATGCTTGTGAACTTTTTCATACTTATTGTTGGAATACTCTTGATTCTTGCATTGCATGATTTTGTCTGGTGGATTTAGCTGGTTGTGGTCAAGGGCATTTGTGACTGTTTCCTAAATCAGTTCTGTGCAGTCATTGCTGCATGATTGTCAGACATCTGTTACTTCTATTTTTGTATTTCACTGTTTTTAATTGAAAGTTATAACTCACACTGAATAAATGGAATCCATATTGTTTCTAAATGAGGATTTTGTTTGATTAACCTCTCCACTTTGTCATACTATGATAACTTGACAGGCTGCCCTGATTTATAGACTTAAGACACATGTACAAAGCATTGAATACCATCAGTGTGATCAGAATTAAATGTTTTAATGCTGAGTTGCTGTAATACAGTATATTTTGATTGAGTTGGGAAGTGTAGACAGCATTTGAATGGTAACCAAATCTGTTGAGATTAGTCAGGATTCATTTTGCCATATTTTGTTGGAGCTATAGAAATATTTTATACTAGTTTTTGGTTGTAACTCTATTAATCCCATTTCAAAGCATGTAAGTTCTCAGTACATATGAGTCTGGTGTTTGTAACTGAGTTAATGTCACTGTCAGAAGACAATTGACCAAATAGCAGCTAATTGACTCCCAAGTTAAAATGGAACCAAATGATTAAGTGTGGAAAAATGTTTTTGGACAGTCTCGCCAGCAGTATGATTAGTATAGAAAAGTCAAACTTGCAGAAAAATAACACTTGTTTTCCTTTAAGTGAAGAACAGAAATTTATCTGGTCAGTTTTTCATCCTCCATTTCTGGTGCTCTTGTTAGAATTAATGTACAGATGGATTACAAAAAACACTGAGATAATTTATCCAAAAATTGGTTTCCTCTGCTAAAAAGCTCAAGCTTGGTCACAAATGGTCTTTCCAGCGGGATAACAACCAAAAGCACATAGCCTTTTCTGTGTTATCAAATCCAAATAAGGATTTAATTTGAACTTTGTATATTTAGAAAAATGCCCTTTTTGTGCATATTTATTTTGGGGTCTCCACTGCTGGTAGTCTTATAGTTTTAATGTTTTTATTTTATGCAACAATACTGGATGGGCACTTTCACTTTTTTCCCGAAAACCTTTTTTCAGTTTCAAGTTTCAACTTCTTGCCGATGTACTTGGTTAAACAATTCATATTTACTACTAAGGAGACTTAGTAAAAAAACAACAACTGAGCTATTCACAAATAGCTCATAACATATTTGATTGAAATCTTAAGAGGTTAGGATTACTGTGTAATATGAACAAACAGAAAAGCTAGTTTGGCCCATGTAAACCTTATTTAAAACCAGGCTATAAAAAAAATAGGTTTCTTAACATTGGATGTGGTAAAGGATGCTAATTCCTGGAGTAAAAGAGCTCTGAGAACAGTGACGCAATAGGGGGATCTCTGATCCTATAAGATTAAACAATTTTGTGATATTAAAAACCTGTCTAAATAGGCCTTTAAAATAATTTTTGAGACTGCAGCTTTTCTCAAATGATGCAACCCGCAGATTTCTTGTGGCTACAGGAGATCTTACTTTTAATGTTTAATAAATGCTGTTTATAAATTTGCACGTTCCTTTTCTCCTTTTATCGTGATGCACAGTAGTGTGTATTATTATGGTAGGCATTTGTGAACTACAGACTAGTTAGGAAATTGGTCAGCATCAACCTCACTAACTACAATCGTAACTAGTTTGTGTTTCTCATGCTGGGTAGCACACATGCAAAGTGGATGATGAAGTAATTGATGGAAATGCGATAGATACCCCTTTACTAAAATTTTAAATTTAATAAATAAAAATGGTGCCAGAAAATGTACTAGAATCTGCAACAAAAAGATTGTGGTACCTACAGAGTATACTTTTGCTAAGAACAGCAGAATACAGATTGAAGAAAAATCAGTTTTTTTTAAATGAAGCAGTTATGATCAATGTAATGTTGTTTTAAAAAAATATGACTAAAGGAAATGTACGCAATGTAATAGTTGTAGCAGCAATAAATTAGCAGCCCTAAATAATGAACATTGAGTATTTCAAATTTAATCAAAGTGGAAGGAAAGCAGTAGAAAACAAACTATTTAAAACTTAACTAAATTTATATTTTGTTTTATTAAGACAGCACCATAGTAGTTACTATGCATATATATAAGAAATTAAAATGTGTATTTCACTAACATCAGCTGAATTGCATATTGAAATTGAAATAAATGACGTGCTTTATCTGTTTTATTTCTTTCATTATGATCTTGCTAGTAAACAAAACTAACAGGACTAACTGTCCTAACACAGTTCTAATGTTGATTGTCTGTATAAGACAAGCCCATAGTTCTATCCTAGTCAGAATGCAGGATAATCAGTTATTCATTGATTAATTGACCTTGACCAAGATTCTTGTGTATTTCTGAAGAGAGGTCAGTTATTAAGAGATATACTGAGAAAACAAGGATACCCGTGATGCCAACATGTATTACATCTATGATCTCAGTTTGCCAGGAAGGATTATGAATGCCAAGCACCAGTGTGTTACCAGTGTCTTTATTATTGAATACAATCTTTAAAAACACTTTGAAATATACCCTTGAAGTTGAATAATATTTAGTGTTTTTTGTGTTAATTTTAGTGTGGTTTCTTCCTGGAATTCAATGTCTATTGTTGGATAGACCACCAGTAGTTTCTGAGCTTTAATGAACAATATGCCCAATAGTGTCATTGATTTTAAGATAATGAAATTACTTCTACTAAATACCTTTTGTCTGTATTGTTTGAACGTAATTTTGTCTTGAATAAACCTTTTAAATTGGAACTAACTTTGATATAGAAAAGATTTTAGGATTATCTTGTTGCACATTGTCACATAGGAATCTTTTGCGGGCCTCCCAAGAGTAGGTTGAGCCCTATCTATCATCATGGGTTTGTTCCTGGGTCATATCACGTGATGAAACTGACACTGTCCCAGGGATTCCCTTAGTGGCAGTGCCCAATTAGCTGAGTGCTGTCAGGATGAGCCTCTTCTCCAGTTACTGCTGTTAGTCCTCTGGTACAGAGCTTGAAGGTGGGCCAGACACCTCAGTGTAAGCAGACGCCACCAGCTGTGCAGTTGCAGGATTCGTAGCCATAATATGAATGTGTAAAAACACATAATTGATTATTACAGATCAGGTGGATATGACCGTAAATTGTTGATTCTAAAGTTTAAAAAAAGAACACTTTTAACATGTGGCCCTTAATTGATATTGTCTTAAGTAGCAGGAGCTCACTTGCCTGAGCACATCAATTTCCCACTTCTTCTTGGTTGTTCATGGCAGGTTTCATTTGACTCCTTTGTTGATCAGAATGAGTACTGGCTTTGAAGCCACCTGAATCTTTGGCAAACTGTCATTCAACCGAATGTTATTAGGTGCTGTGTGTAAACTTGTGTGCAAGAATTCAAATGCATCTCTTATAATATTATTACAGGAGGAGAGACTTCAGCATGCAAACCTTCATCTGTTCGGCTTGCGCCTTCGTTTTCTTTTCATGCTGCTGGCCTTCAGATGGCTGCACCGATGCCTCATTCGCACCAGCAGTACAGTGACCGTCACCAGCAAAGTAATGACCCATCTGTCACAGCATTACCATACAGCGACCAGGCTCAGCAGCCAATTGCCAACCAGGTAAGTAGTGTCCAGAGTCACCTGAACAGGCAGCTTCAGATTAATTAATTTTTAACACAGTGCACATCATGAAATATCATGAAATATTAGTTATGTGATTGATGTGACCAATGGAAAAGTAGTAACCATTTAAGTTCATGTTCCTCTCTTATTTGTCCCTGATATCTTGTCGATTTCAAGAAAGAATGCTACCAAAAGTTATCTTTGACATTATCTGTGCATGAGCGTCTCTTCCCAAAAGCGGCATGTTGAATCCTCATAATAAGCACAGTAAGCACAATCAAGACAGTGACTCAAAATAGATGTGATGTTCTTATCTTGACTTCATTACAGCAGACAGCAATAATCATTACAGAGGAATTTGTTTTTTCTCTTGGATGAGTTTTTGCGTTTAGTTTTAAATGATCAGGGCAATACTTAAGAATTATAGGTAAAATAAGCAAATATACTGGTACTGACTGGTTGTTATTTTGCTGATTGTAGGATATGTATAAGAAAATACATGTATTTGTGAGAAAAGTGTTGCAATCACAAAACGTTTTCATTTTGACTGATAATGTGATATGACCATTCATAAACTGTATATATACTATGAGTACAAGAACTCCTGGAATTCACAAGAAATGCAAATGACCTCTTAATGACGTATTTTGTATAAAATTAAAATCAAAGTATTTTATTATTTTCTGGTGTACAGTATTAACGTTATATTCATAATAAATCAGTTACACAAGTAAAAGAATTCTTGAAACAAAATACACTTTTGTAAATAAGTGTTTATGTTGCAATTCTTATTAAATGCAAGTCATTCTTGCTCTGTAACTTTGGTTTTAACTGTACAGATCAATGCAAAGAGAAAATGTAGTTTGGAATTAGAGAAAGTTCAACTACTGTCCTTGAAATTATTAGCTTGTCAGTTCACACTTTGCATTGTAAGTCTTAGGTTTCAAGCTTCTGTTGTTTCAGTCTGTGGTTTTAAGTAAAAATAAGACAAAATTATCTTAAATAATCTAGTTAATTACTAGTTTCAGTTCAAAAGACTGTTTAGTTAACAGAAGCTAAGGTTAAACGTTAGGCTTTCTCTGTGTCTGTTTAAGGTGACTCCTGATGTTGTCATGTTACAGAGGCGGATGCCCCAAACTTTCCGTGATCCAGCCAGTGCTCCTTTGAGGAAGCTGTCTGTTGACCTGATCAAAACTTACAAACACATCAATGAGGTAAGAAGACAGTGGGGAAGAAGTCTGCCTGCTTGCATTTCAGTATCATATTTGATGTAAACATTATTCTTATGAATATTAATCCTTTTTTTGTTATGATTCATTGGAAATTATTTGTATATCACACACATCTTTGATACAAATCAAAGCATGAAGCATTCTGTACTGGAAACAAAATGGAAACATTCAGCCTACAGATCTGTGGTTACCTGTATTTCATTATAATCTTACATATTTTATTTTAGCAAATGCCAATCTTTTTTGGATTAAGATTGATATCAGTCATGATAGAAGTCCTATTCCACTTCAGCAAGACCAGTACATTATGTGCCCTTGGCAAGAACTTAATGTAGTCCATAGTGCGTTTGGTGATAGATCTGCATTGCATGTTGATTTGTGGTAAATTTAGAATATTAAAGAAATCCGAAGTTTTAATCTTTGGGGAGTATATTTTACTTATTATAGAACTGGACAGCACATTAGAGCTGGAGTGTCGCTATGTTTATGCAGAGATGGTATGCGGTTGCTATGTGAACTAGCGCACCTCAGTGGTCAGGTTGTGAATGCAGAATTTCTTTCCAAAAGCTCACTTAGCTGAGACCAGTAATTCTACTGATTGTCAGCATATTCCTTCTGTAGCTGTGCGACTTAGACATATGGCCATATTTGTACTACATTGAAGTGATCTGTAGTTACTATAACACTGCTGTAGCTAGCAATGTGTAATTAAATATTAAGATTTAGTGATGCAGGGATTGCCTGCAGACTGCAAGCTGCACATAGCATATCTCCATCCTGTACCTGTAACAGTTGTAATAAGGGGTGAACAGCAGTGGGTAGGCTATAATATTTAAGCACTTTGGCTTGCTCTTATATTTTAGTAGCATTTACTCTTCTGTCATCATATTACTAGATTTTTATGAAAGTAATATGACTGTATTATTAACTTTTTCGATTACTGCAGATGTGTTTATAAGGGTCATCTTAGTTTGTCAGAGGCCAGAAGAGAGAGCTACAGAGAATGTAATGCTTCGCAATGTATATGAGCAGCAGTGCTGCATAAGTACAAATACTGCAGCAATACCCAGAGTTTGAAGAGAGGTGAACCAGATAATGTTTTTTTCTCTCCTGGTGTTAAGGTATACTATGCAAAAAAGAAGAGACGACATCAGCAAGGCCAGGGAGACGACTCTAGTCACAAGAAAGAACGCAAGGTGTACAATGATGGCTACGATGATGACAACTATGATTACATAGTGAAGAATGGGGAGAAGTGGATGGACCGCTATGAAATTGATTCCTTAATAGGAAAAGGGTCATTTGGACAGGTGAGTCTGGAACAAAGATTTGTTATTTTCCTGAAAAAAGCAACAAAAATTCACACACATATATATACTATCATTTTTCCTGAAAATCTTGTGTTGATCGAGTACTTTTGGTCTCCAAGATGAAATTTACATATGCCTCCTAAAAGTGCCGTTTCTGTATTGGCCCCTGGGCTCTTTAAAATGTAGCCTATTTGAATTCTTGGGATTCGTGATGAATTGGTGATATGCAAATAACTCTTCAGACGAGAATTTACAAACCCAGTTCGTTATCAGCTTCATCTTGAGCATTTGAGGGATTGTAAAAACATCAAATTGATGTGTGCGTTTAGGATAGTACATTTGCTGTGATGAACGTTTTTTTTTTACCACAAAGTGTATGTTGATGTAGAAAAATATAAAATGTTCTTTTAACAGAGCACTTAGACACACAAACTACAGTTGACTTGGATTGAGATTGGAATTGGTATATGTTTAAAGAAATAAATAATAAAATAATTTGAATAGATTATTTTTATGCAGGTTTATGCATGGGGTAACACATGGAGAATGTCTCAACCCAGTTGTACTTGAGGGCTAGATATTGTATTTTTCCCATTCATTTGTCACAAATATGGTTATTACCCTAAGGAGGCAGCTTAATCAATTTAAGGCTGGGGCGATTTAGCTAGTTCATGCCTGTTCCAGCTTCGTGTCAACTAGCAGATGCCAGTTCCGGTTTCCAGATGGGCTCAATTGGTATAAAATGCTGAGGTGTTTGTTTTTCTCTTAAAGTGTTGTTCTTGTTTGTAACAGGTGGTGAAGGCATATGACCGTGTCGAGCAGGAGTGGGTCGCAATTAAGATCATCAAGAACAAGAAGGCTTTCCTAAACCAAGCGCAGATTGAAGTGCGGCTCCTTGAGCTCATGAACAAACATGACACTGAGATGAAATACTACATAGGTAACTGTGAGCTCAGCTGTTTCATATCATTCAAATTATTCGATTTTTTATATTGTTATTTTATAAGGGAATTGTATTTTTTGTGTACTAATCTGATTATTGAGAACTGTCTTCTGAAACTGTTTCAGTTGTAAATGCAGGCTGGCAGTATTTTTTCATAAATACCTAAATATACAAACTCCTTACTACAAACTGCATTTTTCTCTTTCTTAACTGACCTGGCTTTAAAGTTTGCAAATTTAACTTAAAAAAAAAACATTTCAGTGTTTAGTGACATGTTTTTGATACGGTAACGTGCTCATTGTACAGCTCTGTATCCTATTTGCAGTCACTGGTAACACGAACATGTTCTGAAGTGCGAGTTTGCTCATACAGGTTTTTGTTTCTGTTTAGTTCACCTTAAGCGTCACTTTATGTTCCGGAACCACCTCTGCCTAGTCTTTGAGATGCTGTCATACAATCTCTATGACTTGCTGCGCAACACAAATTTCCGTGGAGTCTCGCTGAACCTGACACGCAAGTTCGCTCAACAGATGTGTACAGCACTGCTATTCCTTGCCACACCTGAACTCAGCATCATCCACTGTGACTTAAAACCCGAGAACATCCTACTTTGTAATCCTAAGCGAAGCGCCATCAAAATAGTTGATTTCGGTAGTTCTTGCCAACTGGGGCAAAGGGTGAGTAACTGCATGCCATTTGTTTTTGTCTCCACATCTGAAATTTGGAAGATTTTTTTCTGTTTATTGTTATAAGAGAAAACAATGATATAGCTCAATGTTATTTACTGTAATTGAAAAATCTAACTGTCTTTCCTTTCTCAGATATACCAGTATATCCAAAGTCGTTTCTACCGATCCCCTGAAGTGCTGCTAGGCATGCCTTATGACCTCGCTATAGACATGTGGTCTCTTGGCTGTATTCTAGTTGAAATGCATACTGGAGAACCTCTCTTCAGTGGAGCAAATGAAGTAAGTCTAGGACATTTTTGTAGAAACCAAAAGAATCACTCACAGACCCACAAAAGAACAAGAAAAAAGATACAGTAAAAGAAAAAGAACAGTACTTTTTCTGGGCTAAAAGGCGTAGAGAAAGTACATGTTCTTCTAAATGGATTCTAATAATATGTGGAAAATAACATTTTAAAAATGACTAACATGCTGATGCAAGAACTGATTTAAATATTTGTATTTTCAACATGTAATCTTTATGTACACCCAAGGAAAAGATCAATTTCATTTCAAGTGTTCAGAAGAGTTAAGGAGCTAAGTTAAGTGCCAAAATTAGGTTGTAAAAATATACTGATACAGTATATAATAATATACTGACTGATACAGTAGAGGGTGCTAAAGGCTGGAAAAGTGCAATGCAGGAGGACTCTGTTTAGCATTGACTTATATTTTTCCTTTGTGTATTTGTAATGCTTTTTGTTCCCCTGAATAAACATCTGTATTGGTGGTGATTCATGTTTTCAGGTGGATCAAATGAACAAAATTGTTGAAGTTCTTGGTATCCCTCCCAGTCACATTTTGGACCAGGCGCCAAAGGCACGGAAGTTTTTTGAGAAGCTGTCTGATAGCACATGGGGTGTGAAGAAGACCAAAGATGGAAAAAGGGTGTGTATTCTATGTCGTAGGAGCTTCCTTTTGTGCCTTCACATTTGTACGCCCCCTTTCTCCCCCTTGCATGCATATCAACTTGTCTCGTAGATTTTAAAATGCCCCTCTCAGTGGCATGAAGCAAGCAGTAAAATCTTAACATCTTTCTGTATAGATCTTACAGATCTAAATCTATATTATCAGTATTGTTTGGCATTGTAAGTTAGGCCTTTATTCTAGCACCTAATTTTGAACACTAAACCTCAGTTTGGTTGCATGGTGCTGTTTGAATGGGTTTTTAGTGGTTCCTCTCTCTCTTCCCGCAAGGAGTATAAACCCCCAGGTTCCCGTAAACTTCATAATATCCTTGGAGTTGAAGCAGGGGGTCCAGGAGGCCGACGAGCTGGGGAATCTGGTCATGCTGTAGCTGACTACTTGAAGTTCAAGGACCTCATTTTAAGAATGCTGGACTACGACCCCAAGACACGCATTCAGCCCTATTATGCCCTGCAGCACAGCTTTTTCAAAAAGACAGCTGATGAAGGGACAAATACAAGCAACAGTGTGTCAACAAGTCCTGCCCTTGAGCAATCACAGTCTTCAGGAACCACTTCCAGCACCTCTTCAAGTTCAGGTACTACACAGAATTTTTTTAATTGAGTTTTTCTGTTCTTGATTAGTGCCTTGTGTTTGTGGAAGGATCCAGGTTTACATTGTGCACAGTGTAAAAAAAAAACGTAATACACATTAAGGTTTGTCTTGTCTTTCCAAGGAGGTTCCTCTGGAACAAGTAACAGTGGAAGAGCAAGGTCCGACCCCACCCATCAGCATCGGCACAGTGGAGGGCACTTCAGTGCAGCTGTACAGGCTATGGAGTGTGAAACCCATTGTCCACAGGTAAGCCCCTTACCTCTCTTCACAAGTACTCTTAACGCCAATCTGTTATTTTTCATAATAGACTGAAGGGAGTTAAAGTCATGGTAAACTGCTTGCCGATAGCTGTATCAGTTCATGACACAGGACCAAAGCATGTATCTGGTGAAGGCTGAAGTTAGCGTTCCTTATTCAGCCATTAGTAGCAGTTTTATATACAGTGCCTTACAAACTCAAATTCAGTTTTTTATTTTTCTTAAGAATATTTTCTAACATAAAACAGTCACATTACAATAATTAATTTTGAGTTTCAGAGCTTAGAAATAAAAATATCACAGAATACTACATTTCAATATAGGATTTGTAATACAGTAAAATTAGAAAATTGGTCAAAGGTCTGAATACTTTTGCAAGACACTGTAAAGACACTGTAGAAATTTCTTGCCCTCTTAACCCTCTTAAAGGGGAATTAATTCCCCTTCCGCTTTGCAATAGCTAAGGAAATTGGAGTAAAGCCATTTATTACAAGCTGTCAACAGTGGTAATGAAAGTCACTTTATGTATTTCTAACTAGGCTGACTTTTTCTGAAACCACAGGTGAGACAACCATACCCCCCGCCTGTGGGATGGGCTGGCGGTGACGGTCCACAGCAAGTCACCGTGGAAACTCACCCGGTCCAGGAGACTACTTTCCACGTGCCTCCACAGCAGCCCAATGCATTACATCACCACACGAGCAGCAACAGCTCCCACCACCACCACCATCACCACCACCACCATCACCACGGTCAGGGCCTGGCCACACGTAATCGCCCACGGCTCTACAATTCCCCCACTAACAGCGCCTCCACACAGGATTCCATGGAGGTGGTGCACAGCCACCTGTCCATGACCTCCCTGTCTTCCTCTGCCTCCTCTTCCTCCACATCTTCCTCCTCGACTGGGAACCAGGGCAACCAGGCCTATCAGAACCGCCCGGTCGCTGCCAATGCCTTGGACTTTGGCCAAAATGGCAGCATGGACATGGGATTGGGTGTCTTCTCGAATCCCCGCCAAGAGACTGGCATAACGGGACATCCGACTTACCAGATTGCGACAAACACAGGGCCTGCTCACTACATGACTGAGGGACATCTGGGCATGAGACAAGGAATAGACAGGGAGGAGTCTCCGATGGCAGGCGTCTGCGTCCAGCAGAGTTCTGTGGCTAGTTCGTGACTAAACTGAGAATGGGTTTGTTTTTTTCTGTGTGTATTTTTTAAGGTGGTGTTTTTCAACAAAGTGCATAGAGATCAAAAGCTGCTTAAATCAGAAGGGAGATTATCACTGAACCGCTACCACAGTGCAGAGCCCATCTTTTGTTTTGTTCTCGTTTTTTTTTTTCAGTTTTTCCTCGATTCTTATTTTTTTATAGATGATAACCAAGTAAGCAGAAGGACTGCAAAATAAGTATAGCAAAAACCATGTTTAAAAAACCTCCATCAATCATTTCACATCTTGCTTGTTCAAAACCAGGTATTACATGGCATTGGGCTCCATCTTAAGATCTTACTGAGCAAAAGATTTCTGTGGTTAGAAAACTTACTGGAAATAGTTTTTCTGGTGGTTATTAGTAAAGAACTATAAATACACAGAAACAGTCATAAGAGTTAAACCCCTAATATACATTGACATTTTTCCGTGGGCAGGTTATTTTTCTTTTCTTAATTTTTACTTGTCATTTATGTTGTGCAATTCCTCAAAAGAGCTGTGCATAGAACCTGTAGTGTTGCAAGGAGCACTTGCAGTGAAATTACATCTCGCATCAGTTTTATATTGCGCTTTTGTGAGGGGGCACATTCCGATGGAGTCCTGTCGGCAGATGCTAGGTGGTCACTGAAGTTTTACACTTGTGTACTCGTTCGGAGGCAGCAGTTAGCACAGCGGTTTGCAGCATGCTTGGGTCCCAAGAGCCTGGGACCTAGGTCAGTTGGGAACTCACGGGTCCATACCGAAGAGATGCACTGAGAAGCAATCACAAGGTCTGTTTTGGCCTACCCTAGGGATGTCTGTGCGGCGGCAGTCTTTAGAGATAACCCTTTGGCCTTATGAATATTGGACTCTGAATGGATATAAAGAAGCTGGACATTATCATTTAAATGAAAAATAGCTTTCCTGTATTTTTGAACTCTAGACAGCCCTTAATTCTTTACAAAAAAGAAAAAATAGAAAAAGATATTTGAGAATGGTAATTTAAGAGGCCTTTCTTTAAAGTTTATGACTTCAATAATCCTATGATTGCAGGGTTTTGGAAGTTCACATTTGTGTCCTAAAGTTGACTTGGTAAAATAACTGAAGGTCACAGAAGTAGTAGTGCGAGATGGATGGAAAAAGCTACGACTGTGTCCCTTCCTGCTTTTTACTTGCTTTTTCTTTGCTTTTTATTTTCTTCAGCATGTTTTTCCTTCAACAAGAACTTCTGCACAAATGTGTTCTGTTCATCTTGAACATAAAAAAATGAAAACATGCAGAATTTTATGTGACTGCTTTTTTGCCTCACAATTATGCTGTGAATTTTACAAGAATTTATTTTCCCTTTTGATAATTTATTGTACCAAAGCTGTTTTTTTTATAGCACATAGATGTCTGTAACCAATAATGTAGCAGTTCTGCACTTTGACACAAGGTGTATCTAGACCTTTTTTAAATGTCAGTAAAAAATGGCTGTATCTATTGCTTTAGCAAAACTGGAACTGTTGTTGAACTCTCAGTACATTTACTGTTAGCTGTATCCTGGACAAAATTGGTTGTAACCTTTTTATTTCTAAATTTCATTTAAAAAAATCCTGTTCATTGGTAGAATTTTGTTTTGGTTTTTAAGGACTCAAGGGACAGTAGGTGCAGGTATTTTAAGTTACTCTGCGGGTTCCGGAGTACCAGGATTACGGCTGATGTCTCAAGGCAAGACCTTGTATTCGTATGTCGGAGAACTATGTGAGCAACAGTAGAAACTCATGTTCGGGATCTGGGTTTTATCAGGCTATTTCAAATGTGCCTAATTTAATGGGTAATGCTGCCTTAATTACTTAACACAGTCAGCATGGCAGTGGCTAGAGTGGTACCCTCTTTATTAACTAAGAAGCAGTTTAAGTCCAGTGATGAAGGCACTGTATACAACTTGTCATTTAGATGAGAAAAATGTGCTACAGCATTTGAAAAAGCACTGAAAACAAAATTACAATCCACATCTGACTGGAGCCCTGCTGATAGACATTTATCCAAAGGAAACAATAGTGACCATAAAAAGAGTATGTCCTGCCAACTGGAGATAAATAATTTAGCATCTTTGTCAATTTGGGGAAATTGGCCTCAGTATGTTAGAGTGGACCACTTTTAAACTAGACTAAATGGCGCCATCTGGAAATCTATCTTTGAGCCAGAATGCAGGTTTTAGGTGTTTACGTTTTGCCCCTTGATAGTTAAAATTTATGTATATATTTATATTTTTTTAATAAAGGAAGTTTAGAATTCACCACTTTTTTTCCTGATGGTATTTTAATTACTGTTAAAGTGTATGTGGAAAACATGCAGTGGAAGTTATCTGTGATTGCAGTAAAGGGTTGACAGTGCTTCCAGTCTTTAGCGGTTAACTATCCCAGTAAGGGCAAAAGTACAGGCTTTAAATCTAAAAGTCACAGAGGAAATGGTAGACCCTCTGACATATTTAAGTATTTCCCGACTGGATAGTTTGTTTGTTTTTCCTCTACAAAGCTGGATACAAGTGAGTCTTTAATTATACATAATATGTATACAGGATACCATTTATTGTTAAATTTAATTGGCAAAGGCTTCAATAGTGGGTCCATTTTATATCTAGCTACTATAATTGTGTTGGGCGCACACAACTATCAACACATTAATATAATCTGTACATCATTAAACTCTTCAAAAGTCCAGTACTTCTACAGGCTTTTCTCCCTCTTTCTTATTTTGAATTTTATTCTTTTATTTGATTTTTTTTCTTTTTCCCCAGTCCAGTTTTGAGTGATTGACTACACGGTTTGGTTACAGGACGTCTGACGTGCACTGTAAACATGAACAGCATGGGAAAAAAAAGGATAAGTACCTGTGTCCACAGATTGTAAGATCTAGTCAAGACTTGCTGTGTATATTCTAATGTTACAAAAAAGACAAATGGACAAGCCCTTTGTATTATATTCAAGCGGTCTTATGTATGATAAAAAGTTGATTAATTTGTCCTGAGACTTTTTTACTGTGGTTTTTCTTAACTTTTTCAGTTTTATTATTTTTTATATTTTACTATTATTTATTTTCACAGAGTACTTATAAACAGTAACCTAGGATTGTGTTGTGTTTTTTTATTTTAATTCACAGTGGCCAAAGTAATTGCGATTAAAAAAAAAGTAAGAATCTGGGGTTTAGCCCACAGATGTGCCAGTAATAGTTTGACTAAAAATATATAACATAATCACTTAACCAAGAGAACAATCTGGTTAATGGTGCTTATTGAATGGAGTGGTAGGGTATGTGACAGGTGAAGCTTTCTTTTTTAGTATCCCTATTCCTTATTGTTTGAACTGTCATACTGTACCTGAAGCATTTCATTCATTTCTTAAATAGCCGTTAAGGCATATTCGCCATTCTGCATTGTTAGGTCGCTGAAGTCCCTGAAAATCAAGAAAAACCCAGGAGTTTCTCCATATGGCCCAATGTTAAACAATAGTTGAACAGTTTACCAGCAGCATGTTTCCACATTAGCCATCTTGGGGTTTCCGAAACCATTTCCAATGAATTGTGTTGGCATTATTCAAACAAAAAAGAGCAGGCAGTCGGATTGTAAAAAAGTCTTGATGAGCAGGCACTGAAAACAGTAGTCATCCCCCAAGAAAATGTAATTATTTTCTGATTATATGGACATTTTGAGGTGATAAACACCCTTATGGTTTTGTTCACTTTGTATTCTTAGCATTTATTATTACACTTTTATGGATTGTTAATTTTTCCTAGCCTCCATAAACATAGCCTATTTGTACTTGTGAGTTGAGTTGCAGATATTACATTTGATGCAAAAAATTGACGGTGATAAAATTGTAGACCAAAGAGACTATAAAAAGTTGCAGTTTTTTCTACAATTTAAAAAAAATTAGTTACTGCTTACAGTGCCATATATTAACGGTACCTCAAGTATACTAAAGAATTTTGATAATTTTTATTCTGACTAAAAAAAGTCCTTACCTTTATAGCAGCAGTTTGTTTTAAAACTTAAGCTTCTGTCACAGTGAATAAGTATGTTGTCTGAATCACATTCACATAATCAATGTAAACACACATTAATTTCAAAGATTAAAAACTCTTCCTAAAAGTACTCACCCACATCATAGAATGAGACCATCCATTAAACAGTTGAACAAATGTTAAAGCAATTAAAAATGCCCTTAATAAGTCAATCTACATATACAAGTATGAAGAGATTGCTATTCTTAACACTTGTTTTCTGACCACCTATATTTTTGAAAGCTGTTGTAGTTAGATTAATTGTATCTGTGCTAGAGATTGTAAGGTCACATTCTGTGACATGTTTTGGTCATTTTAGGAATGTTTTGATGTTTTGATAGGCACACCTTTACATTTATAGATTACTTAAAACTGCCTTCCAGAATTTATATTTATGATCAAATTATATAAAAATTTTGATCATTCGTTACAAGTGAGAAAATGTATTCAATAGTACATTTGATAGGTTTCTTTGAACCATTTAGGAAATTTAATTTATTATAGTTTTGGAAGCCAAAATACCATATTGGTCTTCAGATGTATTCCTGGATATTGTTTTTTAAAAAAATTACTGTTTAAATGTAGTGCTTTTCCAGAAAATATATTTTGTCCCTGATTGATTCAGTTGAAGTCTTAGTAATGCATCGTTATAATCATGCGCTTAAATATGCACAGACATCTCACATTCTTTTTAGAAATTATTTCCTTTCTGCTGCTGTGGAATGCCTACATTATCAGTACTGAAGCAGAAGAAAAGAAAGCAATTCTTTCATATAAAGTGAAATTGCTAGTGGGTTACTTATCTGAGCATCTAGTCCTGCCGTTTCTTAAATGATCCGAAGGCAAACAGCGCAGTTAGGAAGTGTGTTCCAGTATAACTGCTTCTTTGTAAAAGCCTTTTAAAAGGTTTAATAAACGCGAGGAGCCCAAACAGCAGCCACGATGCACATATGAAGCCACGGATCATTAGTCTTTGTTTACTCTTTCTGTAGTCTTCCCCAGGATTACGACTGTGTGTGATGTTAAAATTTAAAATGTGGTGCGATGCATCAACTGTTATGCTTGACACTTTGTTGCAAGACGGACGGGTTCAAACGGAAATCCACAGGAGAGAGGCGACTGGTGCCAGCTCCACAAACACGAAAGTTGAAAGGTAAGCAACAGGAAAAAGTTATCGAGTGAAATCATTAGTAATTCTGCAACAAAGCACTACCAAAGTTCAGATTATTAAACCGATGCTCCAGGCAAAAGCATGCATTCTCAGCTCCTTGTTTGATAATTAGCTTTGTGAGGTAATGTCACACTTTTTTTGACCTAAGGCAAGAGTTGGCAGCTATTAAGATGTCATTTCTTTTTGCTTTGAATTTAGGCAAATGACTCGGCTCACAAGTGCTAAACGATTTTAAGAGGTGCAGAGCTAAGGATTTCCTGCCTGTAATGCCAGTGCCTTATGAACATATTTAGAAGACTTAAGAAGGCTTACGTGAGAGAGGAGCCCATGTGATTCATGTAGCTCATTACGTGGCTGCTTGCCAAGTGATTGGAATATGTCTTACCTTGTAAACAGCCAGGGTATCTGGTTCACGGCTTGGTAGCTTGTTCCAGACTCCCACGATATTTTATGTTATAGTGCCTTTTGTTCACGGTTTTAAAAAGCACTTCCCCACTGTCTCCACTTGTGCCTTTCACTATTGATTCTGAAGAAATCCAGTGGTTTACTTTCTACCTTAAGTAACTTCTTCAAGCTCAGTCTCCCATCTCCCAAGTCTGTTTAGTTTGCTTCTGCTGTCTGCATGTAACACTGCACTTGTCTACATTACATAAAATGTAATCTGCCAGATGTTTACCTAGTCTGTTTCCAGATTCCTTTGCTGCTTCTGCAGTGTTTGCTAAAACACTATTTTTGGTATCCTCTGAATTTCAACTCATGCTCTTTCTAGCTATACCAGAAATGAGCTAATTGATAGAAATTATAAGCATTGATACAAATACATATCCTTGTGGAACCCCACTGTGTTTATTCCCTTGAACTGAACATACTGTACACCCTTACCTGCACCTTTTCTGTCCATTATCCAGTTCTCCATCCAAAGTCATTAATTAACCTCAATGACGCAGGATTTGATCAAAAGCCGTCTGAAAATGTAAAACAACCATGGGCTCTCATTAGTTGCCTTTGGGAAAACAAGTCAGCTTAAATCAGTGCTATTTTTTCTAAATCCACATTGACTTCCCCATCTCTCTGTCACCCAGATGAACCACTTGGGCTAATTATCTTTTTTATAACTGTTCACATAAAGGAAGGAAGTGTAGTGGCATACTTGGAACATGGAAGTAGTGCAATTGTTAGTAAGCCTATCTAAAGGGACAAAAAATGAATGTGGTTTGTCAATAGCCTATGAATAACATTGTTTCCCTACTCATCTATTGCATCAGAAAGGTAGTAACATTCCAATCCTTTTCTGCTTAAATACAGTTAGTAGAATACCATCAAGCCCTGGAGATTGACTTTTTGTAAGTGCTGCTGCTGCTTTGCCTCTTCTGTGCTAATGAAAAGTTACATATTAATTTACTCAGGCAGCCTGAGGCACACTGTTAGCAACTTCGTGAACGTGTACAACTTTGTGAAAGATTCATTTACTGTATGTGTTAGACATTTCTCTTCTCATTGCCTAAACTTTCCCCAGTATTATTTACGATTTACTGCTCTCTTATTCAATTTTATTTTATTAAAAGCCTTTTATTATTAATATTAATTTTACCTCCATTGGAATACTCCCTGTATTTTTGTCTGCCTGGTGGGTATTTCAGTTGGTTACTGGGACTGGTATCTGATTTCTAGATACTATAGGATTCCTTTCAGTCGGCTTGTGTCCTGGCAATTATCTGTAGTCAAACAGTGTAAGAGCCCACAGGCCAGTTTACCTGCTGTCCTTTTTTGGCTAACAAGCCTTTCTGAACCATAAGCAAAAGATCATTTTCCTCCTGTTATTTCCAGAAATCTGGCATCATTTCCCACTTCGGGAAGGGAGTGCTCCCTTTCGCTGCAGATTCTCCCAGTCGGTTTCTGAATCGTTGTCCTGGTGTTGATTCGCAACTGTGCCAGCCTGAAGCCCGAGCAGGGTTGGGGTGCAGACCTGCTGGAGAGGAGAACTGTGCCAAGGAAGTTAGCCTTGCCAGATGCACATGCCCCCATCTAAGACGCTCACTCACGAGGAAGCCCAGCGGGATTCCTTAAGAATGCTCTCAGACGTTTGAACTGGATAGGTTCAAAGGTAGGTCCAAGTGATAGAATTGTTCAGGCTGGTGCTGAAGTACTAAACAACCCCTTCAGCCAGATGTGTCATTATGATCAAAAGATAGGGTTCAGGATAGCCCTCAGTTCTTGGCATTGATGCTCTATTGTATTGTTTTCGTTCCAGGAGAGAGGGATTCTTGCACTTAAACACCACATCAGGTACTTATCAGGCAAGGGGGGACAAATCTTCTCCATGCCATACATTTGTAAGGCATTGTATGTTGGCAAAAGGACTCTTTTCAGATAATTTTCTCGCTTCAATGTCTTTGTATTAGCTCCTAGCTTGTTAGGTGAATGTATTCAAGCATTATTGTTTAATTACTGTCTTTGGGGAAACGATTAAACTGAGATTACTATGTTCTATTTTTCTGGAGGTTACCTGGTCTGTTTTTATAAATAAAAACATTTGCGTAGCATTAAACTTCTAAAATCAGATGAAAGTACACGACATCAATATGTGTTACTGCAGCTGAAGACCCAAACTGTTTTTTTTTATATGTGCATATAGAATTCATACATAAAATGAAGGAAGACAGGTCTGCCTTGCTGTCGTTTAAGTGTTATTAATCCTCCAGGCTGAGGAAAGCATTTGGGTAACCAATGGCAACAGTTTCCTGGTATTTAATGCTTGCAATACCCAAGCAGGCATTTCAGTGAAATTAACAACCTCCATATCAGGGCAGAAAAGAAACTCGTGCAGCATCGTGTGCTATAATAACACCTGTTAGGAAGGCATATACTTCTTATTGCGGTAAGAAGAAAGATTCAGGTGGGTGTTAAAAGAGCTGGCTCGTCAGTCTACATCTGAAGTAATTAGCTCTCTGTGCAGAGAAAGATGGAGGGGTGGAACTCAGAATACATCATCTGAGATCTCCTGCAGGCTGCACAGCATTCAGCTTGGGACCAAGGAGAGACAGACCAGTTCAGTTGTGCTGGAGACACAAAAAAGCTTCCTTTGAATTTGCATAATCCGATTCAAAGTGCATAGTGTTCAGACTACCTTTGTTGTTTAAGGTTTCGAACAAACTGCAGCCAGAAAAACAAAAATGCAGGTGCAGTTTTAAAAACCACTTTGCTTTTGCACAGGTTTAAGCAAGTGAGCACTGATGCATGTCAGCGCTGGCCAGAACTGACAAGTATTGTACAGACAGAAACTACAGAAGAGCAGTTATTTTTAGCCACTGACTTGTTGAACATTATTCCACTCCTAAGGCGGACAGTGCCTTGGACCAAGTACTTCCAAAATAGTAATAGAATTTTTGTGAATGATGAGATAAGATCACTTTATTGACCATATACAATTTCTTGCATTAGGAATTTGTCTTTTCGCATACCCCAGCTTGCTCTCCACGAGACACACAGACAGGGAGAGAAGCTTGGGGTCAGAGCACAGGGTCTGCCATTGTACAGCGCCCCTGGAGCAGTTGGGCCCAACGGAGGAGGATTGCTCTCCCGGCGGCGGGATTTGAACCGGCAGCCTTCCAGCCACAGGCACAGATCCGCCCCATAAGACAGGCCACTTTGTGATGTAAACTTTCACCAACAAAAACTAAAACCAATCTATTTCAAAGGAGTAATGAATCAAGCTGACGACAAAAAAATTTCTTGGGCAAAATGCATGACTTGGGCTCTCTACCAAAGCTTGACCCATAGCAGCGCAACGAGGGGTAATGACCAACTTTCCTCTTGAAGACGTATTAGCACTGCATGATCCTTTTCTCATTGTTCCGTTCCATCTAAGTGAAGCGATGTCACAGGCTGCAACACAGACCTCAAGTGCCGCATTGGATGTAATGGGTTATTTCATTTATTTTTCCGCATGACAATAGCAGGCGACAGAAGAAAACGGATCACGCTTCTGAAATTACAGGGATAATGACAATATTTATTGTCTGTCGGTGGCGGCCCAGTGCATTTCTGGAGAGCGAGCTGTGTTGCTGTGATGATTAAGGTTTGCAGCCTCTCGCTCGGGGCCCATCAATCACCCAGAGAGCCAGGGCCTCCCCACAGTGCCTGCATTAGTGTGTCTTCGGAAAGAATCTGCAACTCCGTCTGCCCTGCCTTCATGTCGTATCAGCTCCCCGGGACTGCGGGTCTGTGTTGATTATTGTTTATCTTTAGTCTTTGTCATCCATGGGTTGAGGGAGCCCTTCACCTACTAGTGTTAAATACAGTAAGGTGCAAACTTGAGCACACATAAAATGGATTCTTGCCTTGTGTTACGTCGTGAAGCAAGTGTTTGGAGGAGAGGATTAAATGGATGCTGGCTTTAAAAGGATGGTGATAAGCCTCCCACATAGTGCTGACAGGATGTGTATGGGGAGAATTCTGTTGCTGTCTTAGTTCCCTCCTGTTGCCTGTGAAGTATGTGGGCCTGGGCAGAGGCTGCGCTCCTACGTGCGGCCAGCAGGTGGCAGCAGTGGCGAGCTACTGCAGCTTTCCGCTTTCCATTTGGATACAGGCCACTTGTCGTTCTTCCTTTGGAGCGTCGCAGGTAAGACAGCATCGAAGCTCAAGTGACTCGCATGAAGAGTTTAAAAAGCTTCGGGGGGGAATAACTTTTGTTCAAGGATGCACTTCAGCGAAATCGAGCCGGAGAGCAGGAGATGCATCCGTTTTGCATTTCGCAGAAGCCCAGGTCTTCGATAGTATGTGTAAGTATGGGGGGGGCTGAGGTGTAGTCAGGTTGGCTTTTGTGGTCTCCCTCACCGTGAGAAACAACAGTGTTGTATTTTCTCGCTCTGTTTCTTTACAAGACATTCGAGCACACACACAAAAAAAAAAACTGCGGTAAACTGGTGGGTTGTGTGGGCGGCGTGTTTAAGGTTTTAATTAATCTGCTTCATAGTGTGGTATCCTTTGCCAGCCCACCATATACTGTCACAGAAATCCTGTCAGTTAACCCAGCTAATTTTTTTTTTCTCTCCCTCCTATGAACTGGGCAACTGCTTGTGAACTAAAATCGGCCTCCTGGCGTTTTTTCGGAAGGAAATGTAGCAAAGCTCTCACACTCGTTGCTTTCGGTAACTTATCGTCCTCCCGAGATACTTTAGAAATAGCTGACGTGTTGCCACTACATCAGGCTTCATACATCTTGCCCGTGAAGTACCCATATTGCAACTGTGTCGTTACAAAGCCTGTGAATTATGTGAAAAATAGTTTTCCCGCACGGTGAAAACATTACAAAAATGTTAAGAAAAAAAACACCATGCCAGCACAACACACAAGACCAAAAAAAAGCCAAAAAACCGCCGCTCAGCAGCAGCAAAAAACCACGAACGACTCGGCGGCATAACAACAGACGAGTTGTTGTTTTTTTTAAAAAAAAAAGATCTGTAACCACTTGAATGATTACAATAGCGTCTTTTGTGAAATTCAATCAAAGCGGTAATTTGGTGCAGTTAATATCAAAATATAATGCCCACGCTTCAATCGTTAAGACATGGCGGTTTTTTATGCTTTAATCGTATTTAAACAAAGGAACGAAGGAATACGTCTGTTTAAACATATCAATTTATTTAAAAATTTGGCACTGGAATCGTTTGAGTTTTTCTATACAGTTATTCTGCTTTCGTACAAAACATGCTTTCATTCCATTGCTCGTGCACAGAAACATTGACAAAATAACTTGAAAGGGTCGTAAACGGAAACAAAAGACAAACCCTGTACTTCCTGGTGTCCCACAGGCTAAACCGAGGGGAAAAAACTTTCTTCACATGCGAGAGAAGTGGGGTTGTGAACGGACTCGTAATGCGTTTAAAAATGCGGGTCTTCAAACTGTATTACTGAAAAATTCTGTTTTTTTTTTTTTCCCCGTCATACTCATCCCTCATCTTTAAGATGAATAGCTGTTAAATGTACTCATCGGTCGTTTGCTGCTTGTGCATTCCGAAAGCAAATTTAGCGACATTTGTGGCTCAACCCACCCGATTTGAAGTTTGCATTTGCGTTTTTTCACGTCTCGGCTCGTAACACCTGTGGCTGCCGGGGGTTACGAGAGCCCTTGCCGACTTGGACGGCGCTGCCCGAGAAACCTCCCGTCCCAGTCGGCCGCAGACCCAGACTCGACCACGTGACCCTCCCTAAAGCCCACTGCTGTCGGACCTCAGCCTGGGTCTGAACTAGGACACAGGCACCACGTACAGCAGGCAGTGTGGTGGAAGGAGGTTAGAGATTTGCGCATATTCTTGATAACTGTGTGTCGTGGACTGCTACTGAAACTCTTTGGAGAGTATGACTAAATAAAGTGGCCATCTGGAGTTCTTGTTGAAATCTGAAGTGCTCTCCTCATCATTTTTCATCCCTCTTTCTTACAGTTAGGTATTTCACCCAATTAGAAGCACAAGAGAGTATAATAAAGTTTGGAAAATCCCAGGATTGAATTACTTCGTTGTTGGGTTATGCTGCTGCCCTTGTGAGAGGTTTCTCATTGAAATATTGAAGAGATGATATGGGCAGTTTTCTGGTGAGCAGCAGTGCAACATGGAGCAGCAGATTAAACTACAGGGGATCATCGGTATCTTTCCCAGCTGAGTTTAAACGGCGAAATGCTGCACATCTTAAAACCTCAGTAGCGATCGCTGTACATCAGCTCTACTGAAGAACCCACAGCTGTCAGATTTCAGTGCAAAATCACACATAATCCAACCTGGAAAAGAAGAGTCGCACAGTCCATAATAAATCATAGATATAGCTCAACAGATTATTTCCCAATTGCTGTGTAGCCTCTTTTGAGGGAATCTCATTTCCTTTGTAAATAGTATAAGAAAAGTGAAGTTAACACTGTGGGACAAGAGGGAGGGAACAGGTTTGTTTTTTCAAACATTTCATCCCAATTCCTTTCTCTCAGTTCATCGGTACAAAATATATATATTTTATAACAAAAAAAGGCAACCCCAGCTTTGTGTTTTAAAGTGTCTTATAGTTTATCCATGCATCTGGAAAAGGGCCGGAGAGAGCATTTTCAATTCAAGCCATTTACTATAAGGACTTTCCCTGCAGCATGAAAAACGAATACATACTTCACCAGGCCCGGTTTCTCATAGCAGGATGACAGTTTATCAGCTTTTTGTCTCTTTTTAGAGGGTCTTTACACGCTCATTTTCCCTTATGCTGTAGCCTTTATAAAGTCACAATTTTACTCAGATTAATTCATGTGGAAATAGAACTCAAGATGACTAGCATTCCTGGAATACACTTCCACACCTCCAACATCCAGCCTGTCGTTTTTTTGCCATGACAAAAGAACTCGAATATTTAATGTCACGTTTAACAGTATGACAATGTGTTTAACTAAAGTTTTCATTGCTGCTTGTTTCACAACATCCAGACAGATACAGGCTTTCCAGTGGACAACACACAAAAAAAACAACAAAAAAAACAAACCACGATATATTTGCTCTCAAAGACAGAAACTGTTACCTGAAAATGAATTTTTCCAGCATAAATTTCAGTATAACACAGTATATATTTTGAACGTTTTTTGGTCAAACTGTTTCTTATCCAGGATTCTTTTGCAAACTAGTATCAAATCAGATTTTTTTCTCATGAGGAATGTACAGCAGATTTGATTGCATTGGATATGTTGAATTTTGTGGCAGGAGTCAAATGAAGTATCTGGAATCTATGATGTGCCTTATAATAATCTCCACATATAATGTTAGACTTAAGTAATAGGCATATTGTCCAATTTATTAACCTGTCACAGGTGTCAGGAAGATATTAATGCAGAAGAGACCAAATGCCTGCCTTTCATCAAAGGAAATAAAATAAAACATTCAAGTTCAGCAAACAAATAAAAAGGCAGATGTGTGTTTTGAAGGAAATCTGGTACTGTTATTCTGCCAGTACTTAAAGAAAAATGTTCTGTCCCACAGGCAAACTGTAATACATTTCTTAGAACCTTCAAAGACAGACATTTTGATAAGGAAATAAAACCAAGAAAATGTCTGGTTTTGTGTTCACCATTTTAATAGTGTGACATACAAAATAAAGCTCTGTCCTTCTAGAATTGCTATCCAGATTTTAAATGCAGTCAACATAGCACTTTCACATGTCATTGTTTGACTTGTCAAAGTGGGTACTGCTGGACTGCCAAATCTGTCATAGAAATGAAGTCTGATTTCTTTTACATTATATGCACTCTGGTAGCAAGGCGCAGTCTCATGCAGCACTGAAGATACCACAACAGCTGCATTTGTACTTCACGAAATACACAGGATTTGTTTTTGGTTAATAAGCAGTCCCTGGCATGTTTGGTGATTATAATAATAATAATTGCTTACACTTATATAGTGCTTTTCTGGACACTCCACTCAAAGTGCTTTACAGGTAATGGGGATCCCCTCCACCACCACCAATGTGCAGCCCCACCTGGATGGTGATCATGCTACCCATCTTGCTTTTGGTTCAATCAGTCAAGATGATCTCTTTAAAGTATGAAATCTGTAGCTTCATCATGCACTGATCTCCAAAATAACCCCCCACCCTTCATCAAGTACATTTATTCCCACAGCTCATTGAGCAGAAAAACTCACATGTCTTGCTTGTCTAGCTGACTGGGACTTAAGTGGTTAGAGGAGGGAGCTGTTCTAGTATGAAATCTGCAAAGAAAATGGTAGAGGTTAATTCCACTCTTAAAAAATCACAAGTTTCAGCTGTGGAGAACTCCTCTGGGTGTTGAGAAGCTCTGAAGAAGAGGCTACACAGCCACAATGGTATGTTTTTTTTTCTTTTTGCTTTTCAGCATGGAACAAATCTCTGCTCTTTAAATGAGCCTAATCCTGTGTTAGGGAAGAATACAGTACGGGTTCTGACGGGTTTATTTGCCATGCTGGTTAGAGGAGATTCCCTCTTGGATAATCTGAATATAAATCAAGCAAGCTGAGAGCAGTGGTTATTATGAGCAACTGTGGGCTGCAGTTACTGTGCTTTTTTCTGTTCCTAATAATAAGGGTATTAAAAAAAAAACCCACAAACGCAATTCGGTGAAAGTGCTCTGATATTAAGCAATTATCCAACTTGCTTTTAGTTTATGATTAACTGTAATTAAAATCTGTTCTTAGTAATACAAGCAACACAGGACTAATTAGGAATCTCATTAGATTGATAGTAGCTGACATTCCCCCATTCGTTCTGGTTGTCCAATGGTTCACCACCCAACAAAGGGCATTATTGCTTAAACAAAATACAAAAATATTCCAATACATCTGATTAGGAAGTAGGAAAATGGCATCTGACTAAACTCCAAGACCCCCAACTACTTGAGGAATGCCGATTAAAAAATTAGTGGGGCTCGAGAATGTATATGAATGGAATACAAGTGCAAGCAATGCCACTCCGGCTAAATTAAACTGGGGAAAAAAAATCTCACTGTAATTTATGCGAGGCAAACGGCAAGGTTTGTTCAGCAGGGTTTGAGAGAGGATCTAAACTTGTTTTGTAGTGCTATGTCGGCTTACAGATTAAAACCAAATCTTGAGCAAAATTTACTTTGGCCTCAATGCAGTGAAAATATCCCTCTCCCAAGACCGATGGTAACTCGCACTGAACCTGCCTGAACATCTGTCTGCTGCTCAACCGCAACTCTCGAGCCTCTAGCGTAGACTTCCAATTCACCTTCATTTCGCACAGCAGTTTTGCAAAATCATTTTTTAACAGAAGGTAAGAAGCGCATAATTTTAAGTCAGGGTTACAACAACGAGAACCCCTCACCCACATATGTACACTCTCTTCCAGAAATCTTTGCATTCAACAGTTTGAGACTCGATTCCTAGTTCGCGATATAAGACAAACCGAAAATAGAATATAACCCTGAGAATTTGGTGCAGTCCTTCGATGACCCACAGGAATACAGTGAAGATGAAACAGAGTTTCATAGCCCACCAGTTTTACAGTTTCCCCCTTGATTTTGCTTCAGGTTGGAAAGGCCCATTAATGTGTTTTAACAAGCTGGGGGGGGGGTTGATGCTTCTCTTACTCCATTAAAGCAGCATCTTCATTCTCCCAGTGCACCTCATTGTTCGGCTCCTCCTGGATTCTGGAGGTTGTGTTTGAGCTCTGCCAACCTGCATCTGACCGGGAGAAGCAACTGTCAAGTCGTAGCTATTCTACTTCAAGAATCTCAGTAACAGTGATTTAAAACATAGCAGGACTCTTACCCACAACCCACCCAGCAGATCACGTGACTTCACATCAATACTCAAGACTGTGCGGTTCCTGGCTCTGTGTATAAATACATATTTTGATCCTACCAAATAAAAAAATGGTAAAACAACAAAAACATGGACTGTTGCATAAAGCACCCTCTCTTGCTTTTAGTACTACTGTTTTACAGGTTTACATAAGCTACAGTCCAGCAACGCAAGAGTTAACGCCTACTGATGACAATTCTAATATCAAGAATAAGGAGTAGCTGAACAATATTAATAAAACATTTTGACGATCCCTGCAATTTTGTGGCTATACCAGGAATAAAAATGAGTACTTCATTTCTCATTACAAAAAAGTCCACAATTTTCCTTTATTTCCAGTTGCTGACTAAGACTATGTTCAAAATCACATTAAAAGAAACATTGTGGTTCACTGTTAATGCCCCATTGTGTCCAAATTCAAAACATGAAAATCCTAAATTTAATCTGTTGGTGACAGGGTGCTTTCTGTTGGGGTTAAATAAATGTGTGAACAAACTTGAGAACTGAAAGCCAACAATGGGTAGCTACAAAATATCAAATATTCTGTAATAATTGTACAGATAAATATACATTCTCAAAGTCCAAAATAAATTTAAATAGATGACAAAGACGTGTATTACCTCACGATTTAAAATTACACGTAAAAAGATCATGACAGATTCACAGAACAAGCAAAAAAAAATCCCTTAACTATACTTCTTCAGAAAGATACAGTACTGTACCATCTTCCAATCGTAAAGGAAACCACAGACGGAGCTACCAAGAAACTGGAAGTTCTCCTGAATTAAAAACTCGATTTTCAACTGGGAATTGAAAATCGTCATACAAAAAAAAAACAATCCAAATAATGAGCAATTTCCTTTTGAGTAGCAGGACAGAGAATTAAACTCTAAAGGAAGAGGAATGGTCTCACTGGATCAAGAAGATGGCCTGCTGATAGCAGCCCCAAAGTGCTGTATTGTTTCGTTAGTTTTCAACTCCTAAACTGACAAGAAGAAGAAAACAAAATGACAGAACACAAAGCTTAAAGGAACAAATTTGATTTGAACTCTTATCATACCTTTCTAGTTTACTCGCCTTATTTTTTTCCGTTTAATCACTCAATCGTGTCACCCTGTTGTAATTGAGGGCAGCCTTCAGCATTGAGACTCTAAACGACGCTTAAAAAACCGTCTGCTACAGTATGTTACTGAATGCATCAAGAAAGCATGAGGGTGAATGGGGAAAAAAAAATACCTTTGACCTGTTAAGAGCTGTGATGGAGACTAGGAAAATATTCAACTTTGAGCAGAATTGCGTCCCCCCCGAGTCCTGTATTCTCCAGGAAGAGGGACTGCTGGTTCAGTTTCTCAGGACCAGTAAGATTGCCATTTAAACAAACAAAAAAACACTTTACAATACATGAGTATGCATTACAACAATTTTAATGCATACATGAAAAGGGTTTCAATCCAGAAAGATTCTTCAGCAATGCACACTGTTTTTAATGAAAATAATCAACCGGGCCCGTGGGGTACATGGTAATAAAAAGCAGAGCTCTAAACCTAAAGGAAGAGATGGGACTGCAGCTTTTACTTGAAAAGCACAAACAGAAAAATGGGTCACAAAATGACAGTTTTAATTTAATTTAAGGAATTATGTATCGGTGCCGTGATTCTTTGAGAAAGACAACATTCAAACCCCCCCCAAAAAATGAATGGTCTGTATGAAAGTAAATATTTCAATGAGCCCTGTGATGAACATTTCTCAATGTTCTAATAACGTACAGGACAGTGGAGTAAAATACATATTTTGAGAAAATGAATATCTTCTAAAAATGTCTGTGGTAAGACAGCTTCTCTTGGTAAAATGAGTTTTTTTTTGTGCAGAAAAAGTGGACTTTTCAGTTGTGTTATGTGGGTGGTCTGGAACTGACACGGGAATCTTCATTTACTCCAAGCAAACCAAACAGGAATTCCCCCTGATGAAAATGAACCATGGACCGGATGACTACTTTCAGTGTCTCTGTGCAGGACAATGGGCACTGAGACGCTGAGCTTGATCCATCCAGCAGTGTAAAATGGTTCTTTTCACTAAGGAAATGCATTCACAGGCAATGCAATCTTGTAGGGACAAGTGATAATCAACTCCCATGATCCATGCTAGTTAATAACGGCCTTAGAGACATAGGAATCACCATGACGGAGTAGCTGCTCAGATACCAAATGAGCCTGTATAAGATATATAGTATTGGTTGACCTTCATTTTGTGGTTTTGCACATTGTAGGATGGGCAGAAAACAAGAAATTTGATATTGTGATCACTATACTACAGTGATCACTGGATGTTGTTCTTTGTGCTATAGTGACCACTGGGTATTGTTCAATGATATTTTCATTTGAAAATAAAGATAAATAAGCTTAATGGCAAATTTATTATCTATATACATTCCTTCCATAACTGCCTCTATCCCATGTCAATATATTTATAAAAGAATGAGCTGGTGACTTTCTCCCGCTGAAGGTTTGCTAATAATAGATGACAACATAGCCAATTCCGCTATAATTTTGAGTTCCACATGTCTGAGTGTTTGACAGCACTATTTGAGGAGTGTCACATTACAAGCTTTGATAAGTGAAAGACATTAGTTGCACCTGCTGGTAAATTACATCCATCACTAAGCCTTTTGGTAAACAGTACATGGCAGTCTCCACCTTCTGTAATCTAAAGACAACAATATTCTGTGCCACTATTAACAGAACTCCTCCTGCAAAACTCTGCGCAGTCCATTAACTGTTTTCATGTAAATTATTGTCATTCTGTACAGTACATTAAAGGAAATGACAAACATTCCCAACATGTTGCCAACATGCAGTTTTTCCAAAATTCTGCATGGGTTTTCACGACTCGTCATTCCTTTGCCTATTAATATTGAATGTTGAAATACTGTGATCATGTGTGCATCCAAAGTCTTGCAGTCAAAGTGCTCTCCAAAGAAAACTTCCTACACCAGCAGGTGGAGCAAGTTAAAGGCATAAACTTGAATTTAAAGGGCTCATACTTGGGTGCATGACCAGCATTCTTTCACCAATCAGTAGCTACGACGTGGATGGCAGGGAGAGACTTAGGAATTTTAAGCTCCAAAAGGGGTGCAGGATTTTGGCGAAAGCAAGGCATAGCTTAAAAACATAAACCACATTACAGTGTGTGTATGGAGGGGGTCAGCTCAGTAACATTTCTCCTGACGCCTTGCTTCAGGTAATAAAATAAAATGGGGGTGGCTAATGTCACAATTTAGTTGCATTTTTTCTAACTGAAAACACCTTGCACTGATTGTATGACAAGAAAGCAACTAATCATAATTACTAACCTAAAAGATACAATGAGAAACATACACAGTGTCTGGACTGGATATGAGAATACAAAGAGGACATGCACAGCCAGGGTCAGACACACTACTAAAGACTCCTGCTTCAGCTAGAGCAGAGATCCCAGAAGAATGGTCTAATCTATAGTTTTTGCATCCAATACTTTAGAGAATTCTTTTCTAGCATATACTACTTACATTATATGTACATTTTATAGAATTGTTTAACTACAGTAGTTTTGTACATGCTTGTCTTTTAAAAAACTCTAATGTAAAGAAAGCTTAAATATTACATAAGGCATATTTACAGGAAGCTTTCCTCTCCAACTTGGAATCAAACAGCTAGGTACCACACACTCAAGTATCAGTAACACATCCTCCCAGTCATTGGCTAAGAACAAGTATTGAAATATATATATACAAAAAAATACAAATGCAAATGCCCCAATATATATTTATATACGTATATATATATAGGTTAGACCTTTGAATTTAAAAAATTATATATATATATTTTAAGTTCTAGAAACAACCTTGCTATCAATGCATGCGATTGCTGGGCCTTCAAGTCTGACGGATTGTCGTCTTTTAGTTGTTCACGGGGGTGACGTTTGCCGTGTAAAGAAGGAAATGGCTCTTGCCTCTCTAGGATACAGGTTTTTCCATTCCTTTGTATTGAGCCTGCTAGCGACTACTGAAACCCTCTGCCCTTGAGTCGGAGCAGCCCTGCTCTCAGGTGGCGTCAGGACACCGCGGACAGACGTTCCCGCCTCTTCCAGCGCTCCTACACTTTCGACTCGGTCTCCATGTTGGCTACGTCACCATTCCGCTCGGTCTGGTCTCCACCGTCCCGGGCGCGGGTCTCCTGGCTCTCCCTCTCGGTCTCCAGCGCCGCCTGCTGGTTCAGCTTGCTGGCCACGGACCAGGTGAGAGGCAGCTGGGCCCGGGCCGTCATCTCGGCCAGCTCCCGCGCGCTGCAGGCGGGGGTGTTGGTCTCGTAGATTTCGTGGAAGCTGTTGTAGTCCACCTCGTAGAACCCGTCCTCGAGGGTCAGCACGGGCGTGAAGCGGTAGCCCCACTTAATCTCACCGGTCACGTAGGAGCTCCTGGCTTGGCACGTCATCCCTGCGAAGCAAGCGAGAGAGGAAACACAGTGAATTTTCTGGAAGCCGTTTTCACTCCGCAGGTTTGTGCCTCATGCAACAGACGAGCTGCACCCAACGGTAAGCTCACACAAGCCGACTGCCAGTGGAAATCCATTTTTTTTCTCCTGTCTTGTTCATTACTGTAGATCGGGAAAGTCTCAGACCTAATTTACAGAAAGTGAATCACAAGTACAGAGCAAAGAAAAGCTCACAAAGCTCCTGTTTGAACACCTGTTCACCCCTGAATCCAGCTGGCGCTAACTCTCCAGTTTACAACAAGCCCTCTTAAGCACTGGACTTTAAGAAATCCCAGACTAAGCGAATATTTACAGCAGCATCCAGAAACCCCATATGAAGTGTTTGTGTTTCTTAGTACCACTGTTTCCTAAACAAGACCTCCGTAAGACACTAGTCTTTGCAGTCATACAGTAGATTATCCATGCTGGATAATTGTCCTTCTTTGCCCACCTTAAAAGACAGTAATTGCAAGTCTACAAACCGGTGTCTTTTTCCCCAGTCTGAGGAGTCTCCAATATTTTCTGTTGGTCCTTAATGAACCTGTTTTACGTTGCGCCATAAAATCAAAACAAGCCCTTCTCTAAGGGTGACCTTGGGTGTTCAATTTAATTTCAATACATTTGCTCTGCTGTATAAACCACACACAGCAAACACACATAAATCTGTTGTAAGAGACAGGTTGTAACTCAGTGGGCTTTTTCACCAAAGACAGCTGAAACAAGGCACAGAACGCAATAGTAGATAATGAAGCTGCTGAATGTTGGACTCGACAGCAATTATTAAAAGATGGACTCCAAATGTTGAAAAACAAAGAACGTAAGAACAGGGTTAAAATATAAAGCTAATAGTTATGTCAGTAAAATAACAAAACATCTGTCCCAGAGACCAAACCAGATACAACATTTTCACACATGCCTTAAGATGAGGAATAGGGTTAAAAAGATGTAATGGATGGAGTGAATTATGCAGAGTCGCCAAGAATTTTGCACTTTATGCATGAGTAACTGTTTCTCATGAGATCATAAGGCATACTTTCAAGAGCTTTCTAAAAACTACTTAATAAATGTCATGTTGAACCCTTACACACACCAAAAAGATTTAGACGCACTAGAGTGTAGTTAAGTATTAATTTTCAAACACCATAATTTCTTCAGGACAGAAATCTCAGTGCTTGGACAGGGTCACTGGAAGGAAAATCACTCTCCCCAGAAATGTATTTTCAAAAAGCAATTTCCCCTGTACTGGATATTTAGTTATTATGGTTATTAAAGGAAAAGGAAAAAAAATCGTTTGATAGGCCTAATAGGATGGCAAGTGAAAAATTAAAGAGACATCATAATATACAGGATAGTCCAATCTGTCAGTCTGTCAATCAGTCTTTAATTTGTATTATCTTTCACAACACACTCCACTTTAAAAACAATTCAATCGCAATAGAAGACATATGAAATCTGCATTCTCATAACAAAATAAAACACAATAACAGCAAATAAATTGTTGTGAAACGTTATACTCCGTGATTCTCAAGCACAAGGGTACAGGAAGTTATAAACACCTGTACAAGCCCAGAAAATAACCCCTTCTTTATCCATCCCAATTCAATGCAAATTAATTTTTCTTTATGTGGAGTTATCTACAGTATATAAAAAGGAAAAAAAATACATCACTGTCCTACTAAGTTGAGACAGGCGTCAAACTTTCAATTTTGGGCCAATTCCTTATTTCTGCAACTATTTTCATCTTTTGGCAGATTTGCTTTAGATGTTGCTTCTTTTCCAACATGACCAGATATGGCACACTCAGAGACATCATTCCTAGGATTCAGTATTTAATATGTGTCCATTATGTGTAATATATCACTTACAGTGTCCTGTGTTAGTCAATTCTGACCTTTCCTATGATGTCCCATTTCCAAAATTACAATATGATGCACTTTTTTAAAATGACGTATTCAGAACCTGAATATTCCCTTTTTCAAACAGTAAATTCCTAAGGTTTAGCTGCAGTAGCATAAGCATAAGCAGCATAAGCTGCAGTAAATGTCAGCAAAACCTATAGAGATAAAAACAGAAGTTGACTGCATAAGGATTGCTTTGAATATGTGAAGTAGGTTGTGTATAGAAAAATATTAATTGCAACTTCAAAGTGTCGTGACTGTGAGCTTCAAAGCAACAAAATGTGAAAACTGCAAGGGTCTGAATACAATATAAAAGAGTGAAACAACATTTAATTTGAAAGAATAGTAAATCATTTATGAAACAGAACCACTTTAAATTGTCAGTTCTTGTCATCTTAAAGTGACCCATTTATAGTCCAGAATTTTTTTCAACAGTGATATATGAAGGGGTTCAAACAACAGGCCATTAAGCAGAAACGAGCTATAAAAATATCACCAGAATAACCTTGAACTAAAATCTTAAACTAGTGTACATTATTTACAGTACAATCAGGTGAAGTATAACTTGCCCTGGTTTAATGTTGTATAATGTTTACTTTAACTTTTTCAGTGAGGAAACACTAGAAAAAGCTTTCAGGGCAATTAACTATTTGGTTGGAATGCTGAAACCATATAAACTATTTAAGAGTGTCATGTTTAAAAAGAGCATCAAGGCAATTATTCTCATGATCTCAGATAATGTCCGGAAATGTAGAGCATTTCGAGTCTTATTATATAGAAATACCTGGCATTTGTTGAAATATACCTGTCATAGGAGCAGAATAGAATAGAATAGAATTTATGGGAGCCTCAGAGGCATTTCATGTATTCATAAGCTTTTACTTTAAACAAACTCTGGCCACTTCATTATTAATAGAGGATGGAAACACCACTAACCATAAATTACAGTAGACGGGGAAGGAAAAGCAAAAGCTTAAAATGTTTGCTCTTTGCCAAGGCAAAGACAGCCTTCTTGAATGAGTAAAATACGATTTTTTTTTCAAAGGCCACGGCTCGTTAGAGTTTGGCCTCACCCAGGGCATCGGGCTTTGCTACGAAATTCCAGCAAGCAGATTCAGAATGTGACGCGGTGTTAATTTGCGGAGACACTGCACAGATGCAAGCTGAGATGGAACTTTGATTGTCAGAGCAGCCAGAGCGCGGTTTGTGTTTGTGCGAGGTTGTCTTATGGATTCGATCACTGGCTGCAGGCCACTGAGTGCTGCGTGAAAAGCTTGGCACCACTGCCCTTTGTGTGCCACCTGGAGCATGCCCAGCGCTAACAGCTCCTTTCCTGGTGCCCCCTACACACCTGCGGGTCTTCATTCACTCCTGCCTTCCTCAGATCAGTGAAGCCTGACTTCATCTGACAAGGTGCTTCAGTTGAATATTTTGCATTTTGATTCTAGTCACAAGTTTGGGATTTTATTTCACTTACAAAATGCGATAGTTTAAGAGCTTCAATGTGTTCAAGAGCTGGGAACAAATGGTTCAAATTGACCTTATTATTAAGTCAATGAAGGGTTTGATTGTGTAACTAAGGTTTCAGGCTGGAACAAAAACCACTGTGGGTCATGAGATAAGATAAGATCACTTTATTGGCCATATACAATTTCTTGCATTAGGAATTTGTCTTCTCGCATACCCCAGCTTGCTCTCCATGAGACAGCTGGGGTCAGAGCGCAGGGTCAGCCATTTATACGGCGCCCCTGGAGCAGCTGGGGTGAAGGGCCTTGCTCAGGGGCCAACGGAGAAGGATTCCTCTGCCAGCCGCGGGAAACAAACCGGCAACCTTCCGGTTTTAAGGTCCAGGACTGGGAACCGCTGCATTATACATATCCACTCATTGTCCGAAAGTCAGTAATTACCAGGGCACAAGTAAACGTAGTTTCAGTTCTAGGTGAATTCAACAAAAAAGAACAGCTTTATGAAACTTTGTGTCATGTTGTATAACCCTGATCCTTCAGGGCTGGTGTGTCTGAGTTTTTCTGAGTACCAGCACATGAACAATGTGAGCAAAGTCGTTAAATTGGTCCAATTAAGCCAGTAATGAGTAGATTTAGGTCTTTGAAAGGTGGAATAAAAGCCTTCTGACACACCGCCTCTCAGGATCAGGCATGAAAACCCACGCCGTGGTGTGATGCAGTGCAGATTCCCCAACAAAATCTCCCTGTTTGTCAAACACTTAAGAGGAGGTATCTCAAAGAGGAAAAAAAAAAACATTTTAAAAAGCAAGAATCTAAAATAACACTGCGAGGCGAGGGAAGAGAAAAACACCCACACAGTAAACCCCAAGCACATTTATATAACCTACAGTAAGCCTCCAAGAAAAGGCCAGGTTGGATAAACCAATCCTTAGTCATGGTTTGAAGGTTCCAGCCGACTGCAAGATTCGGACACAATGAAGACCCTCTAGCCTGAAGGCCAGGTCGCTTGGTTGGCTGGTGTTTGTGCTCACGCTTGTATTTGTATCAGGACCACTCAGGAGACCTGACAGGGTGTGCTTTGGAGGAAAAAAAAAAAACCCTGCAAGTATGAAGTCACATGTTGCCTGTCATGTTACACATTACATAACATCTTCCACCTTCGGAGCCATTCCATTAACTCATTAACCCCACAGAAAAGTCTGGAAATCCAAAACGTTTCCGCGAGGAGGACAAAACTGTCAAAGTGCACGCTGTGCAGGAAAAGGGTATAAATGTAAATAAATGCTTCAAGACGGTACACAAACTCATGTCACCAGGGAAATATTACAACGCAACGCCTGACTGAAATAAAACTGTGTGATTTACTGTTGAGATCCAGTTACTTTTAGCGGTGCATAAATCGGAGCATCTCACGAACTGTGGAGCGCAGACACCTCGCGTTTCGGAAAAGGCAGCTTGAGAGATTAAGACAGGACTAACCGACACAGCTGCGACGGGGCTACAGATCAGCGCCAAAGTTGTCGTTTTTTTTATTGATCAAGAGACCATCTCAAGTCCCGGCGAGGCTGGCGGATGAAAAGACTCTAATTAGCGAGCCTC